GTGTTCACCCATGCTTTTAAAACTGAACGGGGATTTCCTTAACTCAGCACATGGTTATTGAGTGCCAACCATGTCCTGGCATGAGCCTGTGTGCTGGATAGGAAAGTGAACAAGACAGTGAGCATCTCAGCCTGCTTTAAGCCACATGAGGGAGAGGCACACAAAGAAAACATTATACTGTGATGTCATGCATGCTAATGGCACCGAAGTGGTAACTGGTATATGGTAGATGCATATGTGGGATAACAGGGAAGTATCTGAAATGCAGTGGTAGCTGAGATATTACCTAGGACATTTGAGGAAGGCAGCCTTCCTGGAAGAGGTGGCTAGAAAGAGAGCTCCTGAAGGATGAGGAGCTCACCTAGCAGATAATGTGGGAAGGACACCACAGGCAAAAGAGAGAGACCTGTTTCATAGAATAATGGCACCTGTTAACAACTTGGAATAATCAGCTCCAATTATTTCTATTATGAATCCTCCATGTGGCTCATAGATTCAAAATCTATAGGCCATTCACTGAGTGAAGAGATTAATCGGAAATTACAAATAATCGCCAAAATGGTAATTCTAAGACAGAAGCTAGGGTTTTCCAGGTGAGTGACCCAAGCGTGAGGAATACTTGAAGTCCCTAACTTTTCTCAGTGCATTGAATCCCCTAGGCAAGAGGGCACCTTAAATTCTATTGGCCACATCCAGTCTATAACTTATGTGGGTCTTTGCACGGCCACAAAACGGGGGTAAAGAAGAAGAGTGCTCATTCCTAAAGGAGACTCTAATGGGGAGATGGAGGGACCCACAATCATTGCACGTAAGTGATGCCACTCTTTTTTTTTTTTTTAACTGAGCCCAAGATTACAATGTTTCCAAGAGCCAAACCAGTCAAGAGGAGGGACTTCATGAAATGACATTAATTGTCCTCTCTAGCGAAACAGAAAAACATCCAGAGCCCAGCCTGGGAATTCTAGGCAATGCGCTTCACTCTCTGCTTCAGGAGGTTGTTATCAAACATAAGAATTAAATGATATATGAGATACAATATGTAGGCAAACTCGTTCCCATAGTGGTTCATAAACAGCAATTTTCATTTTCTCTAGGAAGCCTTAATATAATTAAAGCACTAATATGTAGTTTATTTATAAATCACCTATGAAACTAATTTTATATACACATGTCTATATATGTATAATACATCATATATATTCATTATATATTGTCATTATATATACTATTGTGTATGTATAAACCATTAACAACACTAATACTCATGTAGTTTAGTCCTAACGTTATATCTTTCTATCTAATCTACTTATGGATTATAGACTAGATAGAGAAATATTAATCTAATATGTAGAAAGAAGGTAAACATGATGGGTATAGATAGATAGATGGATAGAGGGATAGATAGGTTAAATAGCTAGATAGATGAGATAGCTGTAACATTGAGACGAAAACAATATTCAGATCATAATTGGAGAGGCTGATTTTAAATCACATAATTATCACAAAATGAAAGTCTTCAGAGCACATCTAGTCCTAATAGTTCAGCATCTATAACCTTCCGAGTCATCTTTATTTCAGTGTAAACAAAAGCAAAAGGACAGAAATGAAATTCAGTGTAAGAGATCCCGGCCATTTAAAACAAAGATGTAAACATTACAGTTTACCTGGGGCTCATCTGCATTTCCTATTTCCATCAACTGTAAATACTGAAACTTCTACCCCCAGAATATGAATATTCACCAGTAAACGAATGGACAGATTAAATTGCTATGCAAAAGACATTGTCTTTCTGGTGCATTGAAATTCTTTCTGTCTCACTCTGGTGAACAAGGCTCCTCCCGCAAAAGGTTTCATAAGATAGACAGAATACCTCAACAAGCGTTTCCAACAACTGCTAAACCTTAGCTCTAATGTACACCGTGAAAAGGGAAAATCCTCTTTCTAAGCCCATTTGTGATTTATTAGCTTATTCATTTGACTGCAAATGCTTGAGAAAATCTGCTCTTTTCAACAAGCTTAAACATTTGGGAAAGGCCAGAATAAAAAAATAGAAAAAAAAAAGGAAAATAAAGGAAAAAAATAATTGAAAAGCTATATTAAATGCAAATGGAAGGAGCTTAGTGAGGCATCAAGACTGACATTTGAACTGCAACAACTCAGCAGGTAATTCAAGATTGATTAAATACTAAACTAGGCTTGATTGGTGTAGAGGCTCAATCATAATCATGATTCAGAGGCAGGAACCTAGAGGAAGATTCCCCCGTGAGAACCTGAAGTCTCAAGAAAGTGCAAACCAGTTGCACAGAAAATTCTTATTTGCTGTTCATCATGACATCCTGCCACACTTAAAGGAGTGCTGGTAAAATGAAAACACCCCCATCACCAAGAAACAAGAATCCAGATCAGAAGTTATGCTTTATGGATATCTCCTTGAAGGCACTACCCGTCTCTCTCAGCAGCAGAGGAAGCAGCTCCACTCGGGGCAGCACTGCAGAGACAGAGGGAGGACAGTGTTGGAATAAGAGGCAATTCAGAGGGGCTGGATGCAGGTTGAGATTTCAAAAGGAGTGTGGAGCTATGCAAGATGAAAAAAATAAGTGCTAAGACGCATCTAAAAAGATGCTACTCAGTTTTTGCTCTTAAACATATTAAGAATTTTCCTACCATACTTGGAAAAGCTAAAAAACCCAAACAAAACAAAACAGGATGAGAGCAAGGATAACTGGTTAAGCAAAGACTACTACGATTCTGACACGCTTGGCAATAGGCTTTGCAAGGCTTTCAATGTACTTTATAAGATTTGCGAGGCAAGCTAGTGTCAAAAAGGCCTTATTTTGGAAAAACAGAAATATATATACGTGTGTGTGTGTGTGATGTGGAATGTGAATAGATTAAGAGAATTCTCGTCTATATGCAGTCCAATATATGCATTTTGCCAGAACTTGCAAGATCAACATGACTTGCTTTTCTTATTTCAAAAGTTTGCACATATGTCTATGCTTTGACAACTGGATGGGTGAAAAGTACCAAGCAGGATCACAAAGATTCATGGAAAAGCCTCAGAGTGACCAGCACCTGAGCCCTAGCGAGATGACACACTGGTTGTTCTAGTCCTCCAAATCCTTTTATGGTTTTGTATCCTCTTACCTCCTAACTGCAGAAAGGAGCAGCTGGTTTTCTCCTCTTTGACTCTCGGTTGCTGCCACTTTTGGACTTCCTGTCTCTTTCTGAAATCTTTCTCTCATTCCACCTCCCACTTCCACCAAACCATTTCCTTCCCTTCCAGTCCCAAAGTTGCATTTCCTCCCCTTGCCGCGATGCTTCCATCCGCTCTCCTCCCTCTCCAATCCTCTCATTCTAGGAGCTCCACCTCAGTTCTTACAAACGCTCTTTATGCCATCTGTTAGTAGGATGTAAGCGACAAGCCATCATCTTGGGCTAAAATAATACTCAAACTTGTAATCAAACATTCAAGGCCCGCCTCCACCTGGTGCCCAGCCAGATTCATGTATCAATACATTCCTACATTCCTTTACTCAAGTGAAGCTGATGTACCCTGTTTTTTTCTCTGGCCCCTACCCTTCCTTCTCTGCCTTTGCTTACACTGTTCTCCTAATCTCAAATACATTTCCTTCCACCTTCTCCAGTGTGCTTTTCTGGATACCTCTAGGTAGGAAAGTCACCTGCTTTTGGCCCATATTCCGTAACTTCTCCTCTTGAAGGTGTGATCGTGTGTCTGTATTGGAGTACAGAGTCCACGGGCACGGTTTTGTCAGTGCTAGATTACAAAATATTTAACAGCAGAATCCCCTGTAAGTTTTTGTTGTCTCTCTCTCACAGTTTGGACACATATCATGTGATAAATTTTGGGAGATAGTACAGTGATAAAGGAAAGAGCAAGCCTAGAAACCTCCATTTTAGAATTATAGCAAGACCACATGCACTTTTTAAAAAAATCCTATCTGAAATGACAGAGAAGTAACAGAAAAGGTGTGACTTAGGGGCCAAAGGGAATGGAATATGTAAAATGAGTGAGACCATTCAATGAATTCTTGAAAGATGGAAATTGAATGGAGAAATACTCAAATCTTTATTAAAAGTGGAGACAACTGAAACATGGCACCCTGCAGCAAAGAATACCAAAGAAAAGTGAGCCAGTTTCTACTACATAACCCCCAAAAGGCTCAGAACTTGGATGCGTGGCTGAAGAAGATGGGTGAATCACGCAATTGGTAACTGGGGTTCTCTTAAGAGCATTTATAAGCCCAGGTGAGAGCATTTACATGCCCTGCCCACTGTCCTCCTCCATCACTGGAACTCCTAACTACTTCCTTACTCATGCTAAGCAGGGTGTTAGTAAGTTGTTGTCTGGAGAAATGAAAAGGATCCAGGAAGAAAGAACTCTAGGAATTGTCACAGGGGTGATTCCAGTGAACATGTCCGCTGGCTACCCAGTCAAAAAGTGGTGAGATCCACTAGGCAAAGATTCATCACCCTGAGAGCTTGTACGTAGCTTTTAGCACCACATGTTTAAGGGGACCACCAGGAATACCCAGAATTTGGCAAAGTTCTCAATATGGAACAGAGAAACTGACACAAATAAACAGGGAGAAAAAAACAAATGAATGAAAGAGACAATACAGAAAGCAGAACAAAACTTCTATTTGAAAGCACAGTTTAATTTTTAAAACCATGTGTATATATTCTGCTTTGATTAAATATGTATTAATGTAAAAATAGGCTACATTATTAAAAGAATAGATCTGGGTTTGAAACATGATTTCCATGGTTAAAACCTTCGTGTGTTATAAAAAAGTAATTCAATCTCCTTGACCTCAGATTTTACATCTACAAAATTACCACGGTAATATACTAACTCCTGGGGTTGTTTTCAGAAATAAAAGGAGGTGATGTCACACAGTGTGTATGTTCTGTGCTAAATAAATGACTTAGGAATTTTTTATGACCAGTACTTCTCATCATTTTTTGAAGTGGCAGATGCCTTGGATAACTAGATGAAGTTCCTCTCACTAGAAAAACACATACACATATTGATATGGTTTGGCTCTATGTCACCACCCAAATCTCACCTCCAATTATAATCCCCAGGTGTTGAGGGAGGGACCTGGTGGGAGATGGTTGGATCATGTGGGTGGTTTCCCTCATCCTGTTCTCGTGATAGTGAGTGAGCTCTCAGGAGATATGATGGTTTTATAAGGGGCTCTTCTGCCTTCACTCACTCACATTCTCTCCTGATGCCTGCTGAAGAAGGTGCCTGCTACTCCTTCCATCATGATTCTGTTTCCTGAGGCCTCCCTAGCCATGTGGAACTGTGAGTCAATTACACCTCTTTTGTTTGTAAATTACCCAGTCTCAGGTAGTATCTTTAGAGCAGTGTGAGAACAGACTAATACACATATGTATGGAGGAGTGATATTCACATAATTCCCAAGGCATGTCAGATTCTCTGAAGCACAAGTGAAACTTGTCCAGCAAAATAACTGATCTACAAGAAGTCATTAAGGGCAGCATATTCATTCTGGTTTCTTCTAAATCAACTACAATGGTCAGGAAAAAAAGGCAGCTCAGTGAATGGAGTAAGAACTGTATCTAATTCTGCCTGTGCTAAATGGAGGTGATTCTGCACGAATAACAGCAGAAGAGTCACCTGACCTGAGGAGGTCCAAGGAGTGTCATTTCATTTGGTTCATGAAAGGAAGATGGCTGATCCAATTAGCCTGTGCTGACCTTAGGCCTGATGATGCTTTAAATTTTGTAAGCCTGGAGGGTTGAGAATAAGGGCTCCTGATGGTTCCAGCAGAAATAGAACCTAGAAGACACTGTTTTCTTCTGCAAAATGATGTGCGGATCTCATGGAAATGCTGAGCTGCCTTTTCTCAGAAAGAGCTGACTGTGTCCATGGAATCTATTACTGAGAAATCAAGCATTCATTGCACCTCTAGGCAATGGGGTTGAACAAAAAGGTGCAGAACTCATAGTCAGACTGACCTGGATTTAGATCTCTGCTCCATGACTTCTAAACTGCATGACCTTGGACAACTCAGCTCTCTGAGCTTTTGTTTTTTTCTATTTTAAGTACAAAGGCCATAAGAGAAGACTGAACTTCTTTTAGGGGTATAGGACAAGCAGCGAGGAGTTGGAATGGCTGGAGTAGAGTGAGGAAGAGCAACACAGTGATAAAGTAAGAGGAAGAGTGAGCCGGGTCACATAGATCTCACAGCAAAGTTTTAGGTTTTCTTTTGAGTAATATGAAAAGCCATCGGAGGGTTTTGAAGAGAAGAGAGAGACATGATCTGACCTACATTTTCAAAAGCTTACTCTGTCTATTGTGTGGAAGCAGAAGCAAGAAGTTCCCGTGGTGGTTGTTGTAGCCATCCTGGGACCGAAGGTTGTGGCTTAGAAGAAAGCTGTGGTAGTGATGGTGCTGATGACAAGAGGGGTCAGATTCAGGATGTCCAAGGAGGATTCCTAAATGAAAGAACAACTGAGGCATCCAAGTAACTGAGGACAACTTCATAAAAAGGATGTGGCTTATGCTAAGAACAACACCACAGAGCAAAAGTGCTAGTTGTTCTCTTTTTTTCTCAGTAATTGGACACTTGGATTTTAATTGAGCACATGACTGTCCAGACATGTCTCCCTGGAAACTAAGTGTGACCATGTAACCAAGCATTAGCCAATGGGGTGTCAGGAGAAGTAGTGGGTCCATCTAGTGGGAGCTGTAATTAAAGTGAAGAGACACATCCCTTTCTTTTTTTTCTGTGCGCTAATATGGGCATGACCAGGGCTGGAACTGCAATTCTGGGCTCTGGAGTGCAACCTATACATTGAGACTAGCAGCAATCAGGAAAGAAGACTTTGTACCTGCTGATCCTGGCGCATCTATAAAAGCCCTGGACTGCCTGATTTCATAATAAAACTTCCCAACAAAACTTGTTTAAAACAATTATTTGGGGTATTTGGTTACTCACAGCTGAACATAATCCCAACTAAATCAAAAGATAATAAAATAATTACTATTACTACATTCATTACATGTTTGCTCTGTTCTGGGTATTGCGGAAGGCACTTTACACATATCATGTTCTTTAATCTTCAGTACCCCAAGAGGAAAATATTCGTATTAACACCATTTTACAGATAACAGAGCTGGTGCCATGGGAGGCCAAATAACTTGTCCAAGATCTTGACTAGCTTGTAATTAGCAGAGTTAGGGTAGCTAAAATTTGACAAATAGGAGAAAAGGGAGAGGATATACCGATGAAACTATAGAAAAAGGAAAATACTTTTGATAGTGTTATCTGGCAGCGTTGCATTTGACCTCTTCTGTTGACATTAAAATACAAAAAATTTGGTTTATATTCCTTAAATTGAATTCACTTTTTAAGTGTAATACTTTTTAGAGAAAACATTTCTGAATTTGGTATATTCTAAGCACATTGACACTAACTCTACCTCATCAGTGTAACTTCAAATTTCATAATGAAACAAAATTGCACAGCCTAAATCTTGAAGTTGATTAGACGAGAGATCAGTAACTGGCTTAGAATTTTTGAGCTGCATGTTAACAACCTACCCATAAGGCTCTGAGAAAGACTACTGCCCCGATTAGGATCATCAGACTTAAGGGACCTCTGTAAGTACTAAGTACCACCAGTAATACTGATACATGGGGAAAGGGGACACAGGACATAGGAACTACCTGGGGTTGAAATTAGAAACTTCTCACATTCCTAGAATGCAAAACTGCAAGACCGTTTGAACAATTTTGAAAAATCCTATAACTTGAGGCACTCAGAATAACTTAATATTTACTGAGTGGCTAACATATAACACAAGCTCATATGTATATTCCTGTTTTGCTCACAAGGAAACAAATAGTAATGAAGTCCTTGCCCCTTCCAATGCTCTACTGTTGAACAAAAATAAATACTTATTCACTAAAAAAAACACACTTTTATTTCAATCTTGGGGCATAATAGAGTCTAAAAGAAATCAAATATGCTTACCCAACTGTAACTAGAAAAGCTAGGGCTGTATAATGTTCAGGCCAGAAAGATAGTCTAGAAAATTCACTGAAATTCATGAAAGGGAAGAGTCTAGTCATAAAAGAGTTCAAGAGGAGACCTTTCTTGTAACTTATCTTCAGTAGCCATTTCTCAACGTTGGTGTCACTAAGAAGTATGTACACACGTGATGTTACAGCACAAAAACAGAAGAAACAGCTTTCTTTTGCTCAACTTTTATTCCTTCTTTCTTTGTATACTTATGGAGTGTCTGGTGTCTTTTCTTGCAATATCTCCTTTAATACGAACAATATGATCCGGTCCCACCAGCTTCACTTTCCACCAATCTTTTCCTCGTTTTCTATTACTCATTCTGTTCCAGCTCCACAGCCCTTTGCTGCTCCCCCAAGCACATGTCCACCCCTAGATCTTTGTACTTGCTCTCTCACACCCTGTAAGTCTCCTACCCAAATGTCCATGGTTCACTCTCTTACTTCATTTGAGTCTCTGCTCAAATGCCATCTTTCCAGAGAAATCCTTTCTGGCCATTTTCTCTGCAGTATTAGCCCCTTAGCTTAATATATTTCTCACCATGGCACTTACTTCTTCTTGACACTCTATTATGTGTCACTTGTTTATTTACTAGTGTTCTGCCTCCTCTGCAAAGGAGGGCTTATTGTCTGTTTTGTTGACTGATGTCCAGGGCTTGACTCAATGCTTGATCCACCTTTAGGACTTATAAATAAATTGCTGTATAAGTGAATAAACTTTGCAAGAGGACACAAGCTTAAGCATTTGGTCTGCAATATTCTTTGGGAAAAATGAATGAACTGTCAAACTTTCACAATCAGGATTTCTAGATTCTCTTGAAAAATCAGATCTGACATGACCATGCCATCACACCTATGTGGCGTGATTGAGGGAGGGCAAAACAGGGGTTTTCCCCTTTACAAAGGGCCTATGTTCTGCAGTTTGGGACAGAATCCCATCAGTGACAGTCTTCACCCCTATGAGCCTGTGACTCCTATAGGTGCGAGCTTTAGAAGATAGACATCAAGAAGGAAAGGGTGTGTCTTCTTCACTATTGTCCTCCCAGCATCCTTTTACATAGTAACTGGCACTTGGAATTATTGGTTGAACAATAGGTGAATTTATTATCCCTGCATTCCAGATGAGGAAACTGAAATTCATAGAGGAAATACCTTGTCTCAAATCGCAAAGCTGTACGTGGTGCAGACTGCTTAATCCCAGTGGCTTGGTTCTTATGACACATAGACAATGAAGGAATTGCTAGTTACAGACATCGCTTACATTTAAGAGTAGATGCCTTAATTTCTTAAATCAAGGTAATATTTTTGTGCCATAAAATGCATAAGTCTCATGTTTACAATTTGAGTTTTGAAATACCTGTTTGCCCTTGTAACCACTAATCTTAGGGAAATGCGAACATTTCCTAGAAAATCTTCTTGGGCTCCTTGACAGTCAATGTTATCCCCACATCCCAAACACAGGGAGCCTGTTCTGGCCAATTGCCACACATTAGATGGACTTGCCTGTTCTTGAAGTCATGTAAATGGAATGATTACTATTTACTCTTTGTTTGAGCATCCATTTTGTAACAACATTTTTGCAAGTCTCCGTGCTATTGCATGCAACAGTCATTCATTTGCTTTTATTGCTGAGTGCTGTGTAATTGTATGTACAGACACAAATCGTTCATCCATTTTCCTGCCATGGTTTCTGACTATTTTTTCCAAGCTGTTATAAATATTCTTGTATAAGTCTTTCTGTAGATATAAGTTTTAATTTCTCTTAGGTAAATACCTAAAAATAGTATTGCTAGGTCATAAGTTTACAAGAAACAGCCAAAGAATTTTAAAAGTGGCTTTACTATTTTATATTCTCATCATCTATCAAAGAGAGGCCTAATTGCTCTATATCTTCAGCAATATTTGCTGTTGTCAATCTCTACAATTTTAGTCATTTGATAGATGTGATGTTTTGTTTTGAGGTGAGTCAAAAGATACACTCATTTTTCAGAGGTAGGAACTCTCCTTCCAGCTCTATCAGGTAGAGCTCAACTTCACATTTATATTATCTGTGCTCTAGTGATGCGCAAATGGTAGGCACAAATGATTTGGAAGGAAAAATATAGCAGAGGTAAAAGGGGGGGTATTTTACAAATGGGGAGCAATGCTGGAAGGAGGGAAGGCTCTGAGAGTAGGGAAGACATTGGCCTCTGTCTGAGCAGTGAGAACTGCCAGTGTGCATTAGAGATCAAAAGCAAATTGCAACAGTTTAGGCAAGATAAACCCCAAATTTGGAGAGCTTTGACTTGTAGGTAGAGGAGGTAAATTTGCCCAATTGGAAAATGGAAACCTATGGACTTCCTGAGGATCTGGGACTAACTGAGATGTCCATATGATTTCAGACTCAGCCATCCTCAGAACCCTGCTTGTTCTCCCATTATCCAAGTTCATCCTCCCAGCCAAATTTTTAATCAGTGCAAATGAAGTTCTAGATCTGAGTCCCACAGCTCAATAATTTGAGATTCCTCAAATGTTGAGTATGAGGCCATAGTGGAATGAAAAGCCCCCTCTCTCTTTGAGAATGACCAATAAGCTTTGGTTCACATCATGGGTGCATTTATACATACAGCCATTATCTTTGGAAAATGAATGTTCTTTTCTATTGATTGAATCTCACAGTGAAGTAATGGACAGACAGTGGTGTGTTAAAGCCAGCGCATGTGAGCCCAGTTTGTGCATTTCTATTGTGTTGCTAGCTTAAAATCATCCTTACTGGGAGTATTCACTCCACAGAAATTAGGAAATACTACAAGTCAGGACTTTTACCCCACCACTCCTAGATTTCATCTAGTTACCAACGCTGTGCTCAGAGTTTTACACACATGGAATTATTGAATCCTTAAAACAGTATTTCTGCTTTAACGATGAGGTCACTGAGGCTCATAAAATTTAAATAATCACACACTAAAAGTGGCATTGCCAGATTCTGAACTTTAGCACTTTTTATAACCAAAGCCCAGATACTTTTCACTTTGTAGGAAGATCTAATTAAAATCTCTAGAATTTAATTCTGTAGATTTTAAACGGTCATTCGTATTACACACAGAGCTGCTACATAACCATTATCTACTTGACGCAATTCTATATTTCATCTTCTGTTTCCAAAATGGTTGCTAGCCCAGGTCTGTGTAGACCCTGAATGCAAAATAGAGAGAAAAACAGTTCATGAAATTATTCAGTTCCGTGTTTATATGAACACCTAAGATATTTAGACATTTTGATCTTAAGCCATGAGTTTTCTCACAACACAAAATTTTTCTGACATGGACATGACTGTTTACTCTCTGTATGACCTTAGGCAACTTAACTAACTTCAGAATATTTGGAATAAATGACATCTACCTTGGAGAACTACCATATGTATTTAATGAAATAGCATATGTGAAGCATCAACTTCCATACTAGACACATACTAGGTACTAAATAAATAAAACAATAAATTACTATTTAGGTCAGGGTCAGTGGTTGATTGTCACGGTAATGATCAACAAAGAATCATGCCTCTTATATTCATGCCTTGGCATAGTGTCTCCCCATGTTGACTCGAAACCTGGCTACGTAACTTCCTCTGTTGAATGTTAGAGTCTATTGAATGTTAGAAAACAGGTTGAAAGTAGAGACTTAAAAGTCACTTGCACGCTAGGATTGCTTTCTGGCTCTGCATGAAAAAGCCTGGGCTAACCTGTGAGAGACACACAACCCAACCAACACCCAACACTCACTGCTAGACACGTGCATAAGGCCCCCTTCAACGGTCCAGCCCACATTGCCAGATAACTGCAGTCGTGTGAGTGATCCCAGGTTAGACTGACAGAAGGACTACCCACCTTAGTGCAGTCAAATTTACTAATGTACCGTATTACAAACAAATAAAATGGTGGTTGTATAAAGGAGTAAACTTTGGTATGATATGTTAGGCAGGAGAGTGTCTTTTATATTTGAACTTTTTAGCGTGCTAGCTCACATATGGAAGGCACTTGGTGCACATTCACTGAATTCTGTAAAAAGTATAAAACTTGTACATGAGATGGTGATATCGCTGAAGGCAGGGACTAGGCTTTATATTTTCATGGCATCTCACACAGTTTGAATACAGAGAAAGTGCAAAATAAGGCTTTTGGCAGTCATGAAAACTTGACTTGATTTGCACTGAAAGAAAATCAAAGCCCTGTTTGTACGAGCAGCAAAGATATTTAGGCATCTTCTTGAGCCATGAGTTTTTTCACAACATGGAATTTTTCCTACATGGAAATATACGAGTTCAACTTTTCATTGAAAGGCACTTTCCATCTCCTACGCTATGAGAGGTTGACCTTCTCCCTAATTAGGAGAAATTAAAAATGGTGATCAGCAAGCAACAGATGCAGAGACTCAAACTAATCTGCCTTTCATTCTTCCAGGCTTGCTACCTCAAATCCCTTGGCATGTGACCATGAGGGCACCTTTCCCCATAGTTGTATTGACATTTCTGTGGCTCCACATCTGGAAAGGCGACTTTTAAACTTTAGTTCACAAGCTCACTTGTGGCTCCCTCTTGGCCTTTAAAGACACAAATACATGTCTTTGAAACCTACAGCTAAGAGTTTTGGGCCAAGGTATAGGAAGTACTATTGGGATGCTAGCGTGTTTCTTCTTGTCATGTACTTAAAGAAGGACACCCAGAGTGCACTGTCACTCTCTGGAGAACACATTGGAAGAAGTACCTTGCTTTGGAGCTCCCAACACACACTGAGGTCACAAACTTGGCTCAGCCATTTCTCTGCCTGACAAAGTAGGTAACTTACAGTGTTAGGAAAAAGACATTAATCTGTTTTCCATTAATGCTAATAAATGATTCAGCCTTCCATGCACTGAATAAAAAGAATAAAAAGCAAAAAGCATGGTTCCATGCAGTTTGGAAGAACTTACTCTAAAATGCACAATAGGCATAGTCATATCAGTGATTTAACTTCAAGAGACTTCATTTTCCTTTGTTTTTTAAGCTTTCTATCCTAGGATTAATGAGAAATTAAAGTTTTGCTCTGTGTTAGTGAGAAAGTCTCACAAAAGAGCAGACCAGCTTCCCAAACATACTCTACAGGAGCAGTACTGCAAAAGTGCTGCACCAACAAAGAAAGACAAAGAAAGGAGAGGGGAATGAAAGTGTTTTTTAGTTCTTTGTATTCTAGACACTTAATATACATGCTTATATTTCAGCAAAACCATGAGCAAGCATATTAGTTCATTTAGTGCTGTTCTAAAAGAATACCTAAGACTGTGTTTTTTTTATAAAGAAAAAGGTTTACTTGGCTCATAATTCTTCTGGCTAGAAGATTGGACATCTGGTGAAAACCTCAGGCTGCTTCCATTCATGGTGGAAGGCCAAGGAGATCTGACATGTGCAGAGATCACTTGGTGAGAGAGGAAGCAAGAGCAAGGAGTAGGACATGCCAGGCTCTTTTCAACAACCAGTTCTTGTGGGAACTAACAGAGTGACAACTCACTAACACCCCAGCCCTCAGGGACAGCATTAATCTGTTCCTGAGGGTTCTACCTCCATAGCTCAAACACCTTCCATTAGACTTCACCTCCAACACTGGGAAACAAATTTCAACTTGAGATTTGAAGGACACAAACTCAAACTATAACACCCAGTTTGATGGGGATGATCCTTATTCTACACGAGAAAACTGAGGCTCAGAAAGTTAGGTAATTTTCCCAAGTTAAGTAACCTGTCAAGTAATCTGTCAAGAGTTAAGGAATTTGCCCCAGCTCAGTAGGGATGGGCAGCTAATTAATGGTAGAACAGTGATCTGAAACTACCCCAGCCTGAGTTCCATGTACGATGTCTTAAACCAAAAAACATACTATTATTTAGAGATACCAACATGTCAGGCACTGTGCCATGACCTTCACATCCATTTTCTTATATAAGCTCTGAGGAAACTATAGCCTTTGATTTGTAGATGAGGAAACTGCTCTGAGTCTGAATCCAAGTCTTCATAAACAGGTCTATGAATAATACACACACACACACACACACACACACACACACACACACACACACATGCTTTTGAGGCCTATCTAAAGTGGCCAACATTTTCATGAAATGCACTAAATCTCTTTGGCTGAAAGGAACCTGAAGGTCTTCTAAATCTTTTGCATGCTAGTAGTAAATACGCACCATGACTAAAGCTCTCCTCAGTTTATAAAGCACTTACGGTACCATCTGTTTTAACTTTCCCAACAATCCTCTCAGAAAGGAAATATAATCACTTCACAGACAAAGAGCTAAGGACCTAAGAAGTTGAGTAATTTGCTCAACTATCAACTCTGATTGATTTACCAGACAAAAATGGCAAAGTTAAGCATTGAGCCCAGCAGTCAGCACCAGTGATAAACTTGACACCCATGTCTAGAGTTCAGATGGAAATGACTTTAAGTGACAAATAGTAACATAAATGTATGCATGTGCACTATCACAACTACGTTTTATATATATATACACACACACATATACATATGTGTATACATATGTACATATACATGTGTATATATACATGTGTATATGTATATATATATATATATATATAAAACAATCTTTTATCAATGAACCTAATCACAGATACACACCAATAATTTCCATGTCTTCTTTTCCAGCCACTGACCATCTATTCAAGAAGCTATGACAGAGGAAAATCCACAGAAGGTCAACAATGGGAAGAGGAAAAGGTGAAAGAGGGAAGACTGTAACTGCCATGTGGCTTTAACAGCATATCTAGAGTACAGAGGTTGTCTGGGATCATTTGACAGGACAGCTCGGTGGCTAGCTATGGACTCTGGAGTCCAACAGACTTGGGTTTAAATCTTGGCTCAGTCCCTTGTCAACAAGTTGTGACCTTGGATGACTTATTTAGAATCTCTTGGTCTCAAACAAAGATGCTTAAGTCACAAAGACTATCAAATGTATTATAGCACTTGATGTGTTATTTTCATAACACACACAAGGTGCTCAGAAAACAATAGATCTCAATATGATATATCGTTCAGTCTTTTGTCCAAGAGTGGGCAGAGAGATCTCTTTCACTGCCTGCAATAACAGGGGTGATGCCCCATTCTGGTTCATGGCTTCCTGGTCCAACCTAGAGGAGACCCTACAAGGAAAGAATTGCCACCAGTCACATATCTTCGATTAAGAACATCAAAGAGGATTTGCTTGATTGCAGCAGTGTTTCCTCCGTCTCTGCATGCACATTCAAACCCAAGATTCATGAGATAGACCACATCTCACGCAAACTCATAACCTGTAAAATTGTGTTTTGATTGGGTACACCACATATGCCTGGCCTTATCTACCCAAGTCCCTAAGGAAAATTATAGAATACTATTTTTTTTTCTCAGCCTCTGTAGAAAAAGATTCAGTTATTACATTTTTTAAAATTCAGGGCAGGCATAACCATAGCCAGCCTTGACATTTCTGAACAGACCCGAATTTCCAGGGAAAGCATAGCTAACACAACCAGTATACAAAGGTCTGTTTTAGCGCACAGAAAATGTGAGTGGATTCACAATACCCCAGAACAATGAATATTTTCCCTTGCATATCTGAAACAGATGAACCAAATATTTAAATTAGATGATGACACGGTTTATTCAAAATTTCCCACCTGGTAAAACCACTTTTTGAATGGCATTATACATCATATGTGCACCTAGTAAACAGGTGTTTGATAATCCTTTAGAAGGTATCACA